CCTCGGATCCCCCCAGAACCACTTCCCTAGCTGCAGCTCACCACCCACCCCCGGGCCCCCAGCCAGGTGACTGGGGGACCTAGAGGTATGGCGAGGATGAGGCAGCAAGAAGGAAGAGGTGGGGGCGGGGTGAGGCTGTCACCACCGCAGCCCGAGCCTGCTGGTGCCAGCGCACCCTGGCCGCAGCCCGGGGGAGGGGCACCGTCTCTTTGTGCGTGGAGGGGACAGTGGGCCAGCTGTGAAACCAGCTGTGGCCAGCAGACAGAAGGCTGGGCCCTACGCCGATTGACAGGCCTCTTTGTTCCCAGCCTGGCCCTGCCCCCAGCGCCCCTCCCCCACCATCCCGGGGGCGCTGGCCTCCTGGGGACCCGGTCCCGCAAGGCCCTAGGTCGGGGAGCCTGGGGGAGCTAGCTGCGCCCCGGGTCTGCCCCTCTCGGCCCCGACCCCGCGCACCTTGGCCCCGATCTGGTTGCCGCACTGGCCGGCTTGCAGGTGCACGATCTCCCGCATGGTGGTGGCGCTGCTGGTGGACGCGGCGGCGGTGTCGCGGACGCTCTGAGCTGCTGCGGCGGCGGCGGCGGCGAGGGCGACTGATGCGGCGGCGACGAAGCTCTGTCCCTGCGCCCCCGGGATGCCTCTATATGAGCGGGCGGGGTCCGCGTCACCGCCGGCCGCTCCGCCCTCTGGTCCCGCCCCGGGACGGAGGGGCGGGTGTGGGGGACAGGAGGGACCTCCCTCCTCCAAGGCCTCGGAGAGCTCCCCGGGCCCAGCCTGGGTCGTGCCTGGGTCCCTTCGCCCCACCCCGGGGCAGGGGGCGGAGGCCCTGCAGGGTCATCAGTTCCTGGCTCCCGCACCACCCGGGTTTCAGAGAAATGGGGGAGGGGGAGGCGGGAGCCCAGCGTCAGCAGGAGCTGGACACCCTGCCGGCCCATCCCGCCCAGCCCCAGCCTCAAGTTTCTGCCCCCAGACTTCCATTGCATTTAGGCCTCTTTCCCCAGAACCCTCGCCTTCGCCGGGAGGGCTGCGAGTGGGGTGGAGCTGGGGCTCCCGAGGTGAAGTGGGGTGCAGGCAGCGGGGGTTGATTTCGGAGGACTCGTCTGGAAGCTGCGGAATAAGCCACCAGTTTAGGTTAGCAACCCTTGTGGAAGGTGGTGGAGACAGTGGGGAGCTGTGGGCTCCTCTGGACACCTCTGCTTTGGGCTTTTTGCAGGTGGGGTCACCGTGGGTCTGGCTTGAGGGAGGAGCATCACCATCTAAGGCTGGGGCTGGATTACACACGGTGGTGGTGGTGGGCTCCCGCAGATCTTCGCCTCTCTGCTTCAGTATGAACATCTCTCACTTCTCCTCTCCTCTCCTCCCCTCCCCTCCCCTCCTCTCTCCCCCCCCCCAGGATTGAAGTCAGGGCCACTCACCCACTGAGCACACCCCCAGCCCTATTTTGTATTTTATTTAGAAACAGGGTCTCACCAAGTTGCTTAGCGCCTTGCTTTTGCCAAGGCTGGCTTTGAACTCTATCTTCCTGCTTCAGCCTCCTGAGCTGCTGGGATTACAGGCCGGTGCTGGGCTCCACCTTTGCATTTCTTATTAGCTCTATGACCTTGCTCTGGGCCACTTCTGTGCCTGAATTGTCCCCTCTGCAAGACGGGGAAGTGGAGAGAGTTGGCCCTCCGGGAACGCTGGGAAGGGCCGAGGAGATGGGCAATTAGGAACTACCAGGAACAGAGCCAATAATAAATTGTATCTATCACAATTGCATTCAAGATCTGGGCAAGACAATGTACAGCCCCTTAAATGAAGGACAGACCTCTTGAGGCCACCTTCAGCTGGCATCCTCCAGCTCTGCCCCCCAGGATGTCTCTTAAACCCCAAGGCTCACCTAGAAGAGGACTTGGGACTCTTTAAGTTGCGTGGGCAATGCTGGCTATGTGGTTCAGCCCCTCACTTTGGGCAGTGGTTCTTCGTGTGTGGGTGGGGTGTGTGTGTGTGAGTGTGAGCTTCTGGCTGGGGTAGGTAGAAGCCAGGGAAGATGCCCCAGCATAGAGACTGATTCAGCACCAATGTCAGTAAGGCTGAGGCAGAGAGAACCTGCACTATTATTTGGGGAAAAAATTGAGTTAGACCCCCAGAATAAATTCCTGATGTGTGAGATGTTATAAACCAGTGCTATCCCCCCAGCTTTCAGGACTGACCTCCTTTCCTTCGCGCGCGCGAGTGTGTGTGTGTGTGTGTGTGTGTGTGTGTTTAGCAAAACATTTTTAAAATTTCACTTGTGTAATATGTCTCCTATAGGAAACAAATTTGGCTTTGCAATTTCTAGCTCCAATACAATCTCAAAGGCAGCCTAGGGTTTCCCTGTTTCCCACTTAACAACACCTGAAGACATCTGTCTTCCCACCAGAGTCTGCAGATTCTCTGGGCAGGTAAGGTCCGATAGGAAAGAGGGTAGCAGGTCTTGTTACTTTGACTGAACCAATACTTAATTAAAGAAATTAAAGAGAGGTTTCATTATTCTGCTTCGTAATGTAGTTTCCACAAGTCAGCTGTGATATGAATCAGGGAAAATAGATGTTAACATTTTACTAACTCCTGCTTGGCATGGTGGCTTGTGACCAGTTTCAGCCCCTCATGGGCTGAGGCAGGAGGATCACTGTGTCCAGGAAGTGAGACCCTATCTCAAAAAGAGAAAGGACTGACTCCTAAAAGGAGGGAAGGTGAATGTAACCGTTTATTAGGATTTATTGTCATTTAAAAAAATCAGACCATGAAACCAGGTAGAAGTAAGCGTGTGAAAAGTTTGCAAAACAAAACATTTAAACATACTTATTTAGACAAGTGATCTGAAATTAGAGACTTTTCAAACATTTCTCCACGGCAACTGGAGTAAGCCTCCTAAATCTGGCTTTGTTGTGGATTCTGTCTTCTATGTTATCTTCTTTTGCCTTTGCCCTTCAGCTCTTGGGTTAAGATGGCTCTGTGGGCTGTGGTGGTGCATGCTTCTAATCCCAGTTTGGGAGGCTGAGGCAGGAGGATCTCGAGTTCAAAGCCAGCTTCAGCAAGTTGCGAGGTGCTAAGCAACTCAGTGAGACCCTGTCTTTAAATACAAAATAGGGCTGGGGATGTGGCTCAGTGGTCAAGTGCCCCTGGGTTCAATCCCCAGCACCAAAACAAATAAACAAACAAGAGGGCTGTGGATGCCTCCTTCAAGCTCCAGAGCTGCATTATACCTTTTATCAGGAAGAATTCCCTTTCACATAGTTCTTCCCCATGGCTATGGCTGTCCAACTAGACTCTAGATGGACTTGAAACATTGTCATCTTGCGCACACCTGACTGCATACATTCCTGCATCCAGCTCTCTGAACCAGCCGAGCCTCACGAATGGGTTCTTGGTTAGCAAGAGGACTGCTAAGCTCGTTCTCCAGCTCTGTGCACAGGCTCTCCATGATTCTTCCATGTCCATGTTTCGGGGTCACAGCTCCACTCTGCATCCTGCTTACCAGATAGACGCTGTTTCCCCTCAGGTGCTGGGCCACGACTGTGGCATCTCTAATTCCCACCCAGGGAGTGCTCCAGTGAGAGCAGCTGAAGCACAGTCTAGACGGGTCTGGGATGGAGGCGTGGTTCCGTGGCACAGCACAGACTTAGCATGCACCACGCCCTGGGTTGGATCCCCAGCATCAAACAAATCAGAACATCGGAGTAAGTTGCCAGACAGGCTGGAAGGAGTTGGAGGAGCTAAAAACATGCTCCATCCATGACCTTTACTGCAAGAGCCCTCGATGTGCATACTGTGGTCCCCTCTTGTCCACGGGGAGGTTTCTGAGACCGTAAGTGCACACCTGAAACTGTGGATACCATCGACTCCTGCAATTTTCCTTGAATCAGCAAGTCGATGCACCATGGCCAGGACTTGCAGTTTGAGGTGTGACAGAAAAACTAACCTGATCTTTTTTCCTTTTTTTCACAACTTCATGGATAGAAGATTCTTATGGTAGATCTTAACAACCCCAGCATATGATTTTTTACTTTCCTTATAAGTCAAGAACTTTCATTTTTTTTTCACTTAAAGGAAGAACTTTGAAGCTTCTTTTCAGTATATCTGCATTGTCAGCATCACTACTTTTTTTTTTTTGCTGGTGGAGCTGGAACCCAGGACCTCATGCATGGTAGGCAAGTGCTGTAAAACTAAGCTTCACCCCAGGCCCAGCATTACTACTCTTGTTCTTTGGAGTTCCTGCAAAGTAACATAAGGTTTACCTGAATGTAAGCACTACAATACCTTAACAGTGATACCTTGACACTGAGATGGCTAGTAAATGACTAAAAGGCAGGTAGCATATACAGGGTGGATACACTGAACAAAGGCATGATTCACATCTTGGGTGGGACAGAATGGGATGGCAAGAGATTTTATCATGCTACTCAGAATGGCATCCAATTTAAAACTTATGACGTTGATTTCTGGAATTTTCCATTTAATACTTTCAAATTTAATTTGAAATTTTAATTTTCATAGTTGAGCACAGGTAACAAACTGCTGCAAGTAAAACCACAGATAAGCGGAGTCTATGGCATTTATAATTGTTTGGCATCCTAGGACTTCAGTCAGATAATTGTGGAATGCGTCGTGTCTGGGGGTCAATGGAGTCACCTAAATGAGAAATTTTCAGCCAGGGGCAATTCTGTCCCTCAGGTGACACTTTCCTGGGTCTGGATATTTTCATCATTACAACTGGGGAATGCTACTGACCCCTGGTGCACAGGGGTCAGGGATGCTGCTTCATGTCCTTCAACTCACAGGACATTTCCCAGAGCAAAGAATTATTGGACCCCAAATGTCAAAACTAACAGTGCCAAGTGGAGGGACAGTGGTTTAGCGTTTTCAGGTTTTTGACCAACATATTGTTACAGTTAATCACAGATACATGCTTGTAGGAATGTACCAAGAATCCATACACCCGGAAGTGGCATTTCTTAATGTTTTAATATAATAGGAGTCTTAAAAAAAAAAAAAAAAGGAATAGAAAAGGAAGTGGCCTCGCCGGGAGGGGAGATGGAGTGTGTGAGCTTGGTCCTGGAAAGTGGGGTTTTCTGCGTCATCCCACCAGCGCAGGGCTGAATTGGGGTGTGGACTCCGCCCTGGAGGGGCAGGACCACCTGGATGACGCTCCCGGGAAGGACAGCTCCTTGGAGAATGCAGCTCCTGCAGGGATCTTCTCTATCTTTGTCTGGATTAGGGCATCCCTTGGGCTCTGGATGAGCATCAGGGAGTCCAGAGGAAGGAGAGCAGAGAGCAGGGGTGACCTCCCGTGTGTGGCCTGCCGAGCTCTGGAGTTGCCTGAGATGTAGGGAGACCAGTGACGCAAACAGCCTGTGGGTGGGTGACGTCACCTGGATTCCTCCCAGTCTGACCCCTGTGAGGCTCCAATCCCAGGATGTCACATGAGCCAGGGGTGCCCAGGGTCCCCAGGCAGGCAGACTCATCCTGCTACCCAGGCATCCCATGGTATCACCTGGCACCCAGAAAGCCATCCGTGTTCTCCATAGGAGTCCAATGACCATGTTGTAGGGTGACGTCACTAATCCAGGGACTGGATGTAGCCAGGGAGCACAGCCAGGGATATGAGAAAGCTGGGCCACGGGCTGTAGGAGCTGGCCTCTGTCCCCAGCAGCAGCCTGCACAGGGAGCTGGGGAGCAGGCAGGTGGCACCGTGAGGACTGGGAGCCCCTAGCTAGAGGGGCTGAATTTTTATGGCCCCTCATCTGTCTGATCCTGGGTGGCCATGCTCTCAGGATGTTCTACCTTGTAGTTTTATAAGAAAATGGAATTTAGCATAGAAAGTAGGTGCTGACTGTGGCCCCCCAAACCATCGCTGTAAGAAGGTTTTACTGACGATGTCTGGGTGTTGAGATGGGTTGAATGTTGACTTCAAGTTTTATCATGCAGGCAGCTGAGACAGTGCAGGTGGCCTGACACTGGGGCCCAGGACTCCCACCTCTCGCAAGGGGCCAGCCTCCAGGTACAGAAGCCACCCCAGAAACCTTCAGCCGAGTCCCTGGGCTGCAAGAGAACTCTCAGAAAGCAAAGCAGGGATTGGCTCCTGATTTAGAGGTGAAAAAGAAGAAAACAAAGTTTCCATTTGGGGGACTGGAGCCTGGCTCAAGGGTAGAGCACATGTGAGGCCCTGGGATCCATTCTCAGCAAGGGGACAAGGACATAGCAGACCTGGCTCTCGGTGCTGCTCCATGGTGAGAAGACAGAGACCCCAAGGTTGAGTCTCACCTGGAGTCACTCACTGCTGAAGCTGGGTACGGAGCCAATGGAACCTGCGTGTTCTGGGTCCAAAGCCCATGCCCTTTTTCACCGCAGGATGCTGTGTAGGTTATAGCCACCCCGTCACTTGGTCTAAAAAAGGCCAGCAGACCCACAGACAGTCTCTCAGGAGGAAGATGCTGCCAGTGTGGAGCAGCCGTGTGACTGTCACGTGGCCATGGCCCAGGCCTCTGTGCGTGTCATTGTCTGCCTCCCATGGAGCGTGGGTGCCCTGGGGCTGGCTGCGATGCCTGCAGTTGGCTTCCCAGCATCTGGGTCTGCATTCTGTGTCCTGGGCCTGCCATCCCTGGCTCTTTCCCAGAGCTCCCGCCTCCCCCGCCGCTGCCGGGCCTTTCCTTCCGCCTCACTGCCCTGGCCTCAGACCTCTACTCGGCTGGGTCTTGTTTTCTTTCCCTCTGCCCTGGCAGAACTCAGTCCTGCGTGTGGACCAGCCTGGCATGGGTCCTCTCCAGCTGTGGGCAGGGGAGGAGGCGGGTTCTGGAAGTTACTGTTCTGGGGCAGGGATGCTAAATGAGTCTTTTGAAGAGAAGCCCTCCCAACTCCAGGGCAACACAAGCTCTGGGCACGCGGTGCCTGGCACGGCTGCACCCGGCACAGGGTGGGGGTGGCGTGGGGGAGGAGGGGACAATGGAGTGTCCTCTGGCCTTGCCGGGCATGTGGCCACCTCCTGCCAACACTCACCCCAGATACATGCAGTGCGTCCCGGAGGGGGCCTGCTCAGAGCGGAGGGACGTCCTGGCAGCAGGGGCGCTGAGCTCCGCGGGGCTGGTGGGGTGGAGACGCTTCCCGAGCTCTGCCCTCCCTGCCCACTTGCCTGGTGTCGGACACGGGCAGGGTGCCCCGTGCAGGTGTAGTTGGTGAGGAGCCAGGGTCTGGGGGGCACTCCATCAGGGAGTGGGGTCGTGAGTTCCCTGGGGTCATCTGGGCCATGCTGGTCAGGGAGCAGCAGGAAAGCTGCCAAAGAGGAAGGTAGGCCATGACACATAGGTGTTCATGATGGCCGCTGAGCCCTCCTTTAGGCCCTGGACTCTCTCGGGCTGATCTATGGCTGCATGGGGTGGGGCACAGTCACTGCCGGGAACCAAGGGGAAATCCTCGATCCAGACAGGTTGCTTTTCCACTCTTCCTGTCCTGTAGGAAAGGGCTACAGGCAAAAGATGGGGCTTCTCATTTTCAGACACAGACAGGATTTCCTGTTCCGTATCTGCCGGGGAGGGGGGCAACTTCCTGCCAGACCAGGAAGGGGAGGTGGGACATCTCCTTATCTCGTGCTGGACCCAGGCAGGATTTCCTGTTCCGTATTTGAGGGGTGGGACTTCTCTTACAGGAAAAGAAGTCAGACTTCCCTTTCCACCCGGAGAGAGGCCGGCTGTTCCCCTGTGGGAGAGGGGAGCTGTCCCAGGCCACCAGTGGGGCAGGCTGCCTAGGCCTTGTGCAGGAGAAGCAGGGGGGGTCTTCTCTGTTGGGAAGGGGCTCAACCTCCTCTGGCTTCAGGTCCTTGCCAGAGAGGTGGTGTTCCTTCCATTCGGGGTCAACCAGGGGTGAGTCTCGAAAGCACATGAAAGACAAAACCAAAGAGAAATGGCCACAGACCTCAAGGGATCAGCGATGCAGAGGGGCATATTTTCCAAGAGGGAAATGGCGACTGGCTAAGGCAGGCTCTGAGTTTTCTGGGGTTTAGCAGGGCCGGGTCATGGGAGGAATTTGTCAGATACTTTTGGTGGACTTAGTTTTGGCAGCAGGAGAACTTTGGCCGTTAAGGGAAATTGGCAAAGGTCAGAGCCCTCACCCCCACCCCCACCCCCGGGGGGAGGGTGCTGTGAGTTTCTGCCTCCTTCAAGTCTCACCTTCTCCTCAATGAAAGGTTTCTTCTACACCACCCGGCGGCGGGAACGTTCCCATCTCAGCAGTAAAAGAGACCGGACACTGCTGCCTGGGCCAGGGCTTCCCACTTTACAGGAAAAAGGGTGAAGGGCACAGTCACACACCTCTGAGGGGGTGGCAGTGGGGGCCTCAAAGACGCAGGCCAAGCAGCCTGAGTCCTGCCTGAAGTGATGGGACACTAGAGGGTATTTAGGTGCTGGTGGTATTGTTGCAAAATCAGCCCTGGAATTGGCGCTACCAAACTGCTCTCACCCAGCAGTGTGGGGACCCTGCCTGCAGGGCAGAGGAGCCACCACTCAGGGCCTTACTTACTGGAGGCTTACTCTCCTCGGGCCTCTGGCCCCCTGGCTCCACAGCCTGGGCACAGTGGGAGGCAGGAAGGCTGTGCAGGGCCCGTCCAGGGGTGGGGTCCTCTCAGCTGTGTGAGGTGGTGGTGGGATGAGTGGGGTGGGTCACTGTGCACTTCTGGGCTTGTGAATGAGATGGGTACCTGTTGTGTGTGCATTTGTGTCTGTCCGTGGATTAGCCTGGTTTGCACGCCTGGTCTTATTTGGGATCTGTATTGCTGTAGCTGATTGGCCTGGGGCAGGTTAGTGTAAATGTCCTGGGTGAATAGGGCCTGGGGATCCTCAGCTCCTGACACCACCATCTCAAGTCAGGCAGGGCAGGGGCTGGTCTCCGGAACGTGCTGGCTCTCTGTCAGTTCTACCCACCCCAAAGGTCTCCCCCTGGGCCCCCCACCCCTCTCTTTCGGCCATCCACTGAAGTCTCACAGAACCAGGGAGCTGGAACCCAGCCTCTTGCAGCCCCTGACTCCGTCTCTGGGCCGGTGGGGAATGGCACTTGGGTCATTGGCTCTGCCCACTGTGAAGTTGGTAGGGGATGACCTGTGGCAGTCCTGTATTTACACCCCAGGCTAGTACAGGCGAACGGATGTCAGATGCACACTCATAGAATCCAACACAAACACTGACATAATATAACTGTAGTCTAACTCAGACACACAGACTCAGCTACACACGGTACAGGGGCTCACGTGGATTCAGACACACTCTGAATACAGACACCACTGGATTTACCCTCAACCAGATGCACACATAATCAGGCTCCCACAGGCTGTGTACATGCATGGGAGTCACCAGTCACACACAATAAATGCCACACCTTCCCAATGCCACTGATCGCCAGACAGCAAGGCACAGAGACCCAGTGAGAGACACACATACTGAGTCAAATACAGATACATGCTACTCAGACCCCAGGACAGACATAGCCAGATCTAATGCAGACCCACGCATGTGCTCACATGTCATATGTATACTGTCCACAGAGCCAGGTACCACAAGCAGTGTGTACACAATCACAGATATGCAACACAAACACACAACCCCCAAAGAAGCAGGACAGAAACCCAGGAGACAGATGCACAGCCATGTACAAAAAAAAATACTTTTGTGGAGTCCCTTCTCTCCCACTGACGCAAGCACACAGTGATCCAGAGACCCACACAGGGATGAGGCAAGTACACACAATCACACACAGTAGGGCAGACAGCTGGCCACCCAATCTGGTGACCCTCAGATAAGACAGATCCCTCCACAGCTACTTGGATTTTGGGAAAAAGGGCTCAAGGCTTGTGGAGAGGGGCTCACCTCGCACCAGCAGAGCAGGTACAAAGCCACCAACATCTTGGTGGTCCCCGAGCTCAGCAGCAGAGTGAGTGGGGATCGTCTGCACAGGACCTTGACCCCATGTGGAATTTGATGGATTGCAGGGCAGGGTCGGGAGCAATGAGGTGGGTGTACCCACCCGGACTGGGGTGAGAGTTCACGAGCCAGGAGGGGTGAAGTGGGGGAAGCCAACAGGGATGGTGCGGACCATCGTGGGAAGGGGCAGTGTCCCATTTTAGGGCGGCACCTAGATGGCCAGTGGGGCGGGGCCTCCCTGAGGATAGACAGTGTCTGGGAAGGCGAGGCCTCTTTCTGTAGGTGAGGGAGTTCACTACACCCTCCATCCCACACCGGGGGTGCCGGCTCCAGCGCGGGCTCTTGGGTGTGAACGGGGTCTGGAACACAGGAGGGCCTAACAGAGAAGCGGGGCCTAAAGGACTGGCCGGCCCTGAGGTCTCCAGGGGACTCTGGGTGAGCGATGGGGACGGTCTCAGGCTTGGACTGCAAGAGGGCGCTGGGCTCTGGAAAGGTGCCACCGAGAAAAGGGGGTACGGCTGGAGATAAGAGATCACAGCGGGGCGGAGCCTGGGGACAGGGTGGTGCTGGACTCAGGCCGATCAAGGGGTGGGGCAGGAGGACCGGCAGCGCCCACTGGGAAAGGGGGTGACTCTCGGGGATGCGGGAGAGACTGGGGAGTGGGCGGGACCGAATGCAAACCCGGGGGAGCCCGGGGAGAGTGGTCAGAGTGACAGAGAAGTGGGTGGGACTCTTGTGGGCGGGGCCTAGACAGAACGCCGGAGCAGGTGGGCGGGGCCCGGGGAATGGGCAGGGCCTGGGAGGCTGGCGGCTGGCGGCTGGGGCGGGGGTCTAGGAGAAGGACCGAGAACCCGGAGGGATGGGGCCCTGAGCAGGGCCTGCGGGGCTGAAGGAGCCGGGAGGGGGAGGGGAGTGGGCGGGGCCTAGGGAGAATGACCAGGGGAGGGGGGGGCGGGGAGGCTGGGGTCGACCCTGGAAATGGGCGGCCCGCCTTTCTCTAGGGTCCAGAGGCCGCGAGCAGATCGGTGTTGGTGGTCCCGGTTGGGCGCTGGGGTTCCAGACCTGGAGTGAGGCTTGGCTGTCACTTTCCGGCCGGGAGCCTGGGGCTGGCAGGATCCTCAACTCTGTCCCACCGCCGCGCGACCAGCTGCCCTCGCCGCCCTCCTGGGACCGGCGCCGCCCAGTGGGAGTCGGCCTCGGGGCTCGGGGCTCCAGGTTCCGGAAGCAGCACCGGCCTGGCGGGGGGGGGGGCGCAGAGCTGCAGACGGTGACCGCGGGCTGTCTGCGGTCCCACGGTCCTCCCCGCTTCCCACCCACGTCTGTGGCCTGGATTCGCGTCTCGGGCCCTGTTTGATCCGGTTCGGGCCGCTCCTCTCCGCTCTTCCGCGTCCACGCCCTTTTCTCCCCAGGCTGGGCACCTGACTTCGGGAAGACCCTGAGAACTTCCCCGCGGAACCCCCACGCATCTCGGCTCCCGGGCCCCTTCTCGGTCCAGTCCTGGGCTGAGGCTCGGCTCCACCAGGGGGCGCCCGCTGCTCTCACTGGACACCGCTGCCAAGAAACGGGACCCAGACGTGGACTCGGGTTCCCCCCAAGAAGAGAGGGGAGAACCAGGTCCCCAAAGCGGGTGGCCTGGGCCTCCTATTGGAATATGGGTCTTACGTGGTGTGAGGGGTGGGGGCTGAGGTCCCAGTGGAGAGGATGGAACTTGGATGGCGCCTAGGGGTATGGATCTTGGGTGTTCTGTACTGGGGTCTTCTCTGGGAGGAGGTGGATCTTTGGTGGCCTCATGTTGACCTAGGTCTCTTCTGGGGATAAGTCCTGGTTTTTATGGTTCTTTCCTCTGTGTTCTTGTTGATTTGGTTGTCTGTGCATCTCTGAAGATTGATCTGTTTTAGCGTGTGATCTGTGTGTGTGCGGTGACCCTGGGTGTCTGATATTTTGTGTCTCTGATTGCATATCCCAGAGTCCTAGAATCTCCTCCTCCTCCTCCTTCCTCCTTCCTCCTCCTCCTCCTCCTCCTCCTCTTCTTCTTCAAAGAAAGAGAGAGAGAGAGAGAGAGAATTTTTCAAATATTTATTTGTTAGTTTTCGGTGGACACAACATCTTTGTCTGTATGTGGTGCTGAGGATGGAACCCCGGGCTCCGCGAATGCCAGGCTAGCGCGCTACCGCTTGAGCCACATCCCCAGCCCCCTTGAATCTTCTTAAGACTGTGTGCTAGTGAGTATGTGTGGCCATAGATGTTTCCGTGTGTCCTGAGCCTGGGGTTCTCACTATCACAGTGTGCTTGATTATATACCCTGACTGTGTGTTCGTGTGGGTTCTTTGTGTGTGTTTGTGGTGCTTGCCTTATGATTGTGTGTCCAGGTATGTGTGATTGTGTATGTGTCTGCATGATGTGTCTTTTTTTTTTTTTTTTTTTTGCTACCAGGAATTGAACCCAGGGCCACTTAATTACTGAGCCACATCCCCAGCCCTTCTTTTTGTATTTTATTAGAGACAGGGTCTGCTGAGTTGCTTAGGGCCTTGCTATATTGCTGAGGCTGGCTTTGAACTTGCAATTCTCCTGCCTCAGCCTCCCAAACTGCCAGGATTACAGGTGTGTGCCACTGTGCCCAGTGGTGTATCTATTTTGATTTGTGTGATTGTGTATGTCCCCCGATGGAGACATCTTTTGTGTCCCTGTGTCTGTGGTTGCTCAGAAACGGTTGCCTCCCTTTGGGGGTTGGAGAGTCCCTTCTAGGGGGTGGCCCTGCTGGGGTTCCCTTTCTAAGGCAGGTCAGCTTGTTTCCCAGCAATGAGGTGACTGGTGGGCCCCTTGGAGGGGTCTCTGGGCCCTGCCCAGTGCCCCCCACCTGGTCCTTCCACAGCCTTTAACAGGGAAATACCATTTCCTGTCTTTGATGTCATTGGTACTAAATTTTCCCTTCTTCCAAACAACCGTGACCAAGTTTCTTTCCTGGTGTGTGTACAGTTGACCACGATTCTGTGCTTAATGTTAAAAAAAGAAAAGAAAAGAAAAGAAAAGAAAACCCCCAAGCCCATGGAAAATGCAAGCAGCGCACAATCAAGTACAGTAAAAAGGTTCATATCTTCACACCCCGACTCCCCGGTTTTTTGCATACCTTCCAGAAATATTCTATACAAATAGGTCTGTTGTCTCAGACAAAACCTGCACCCTCCGAACAGCTGTCCCCACCTTGCTTTGTTTTCTCAGCCCTCAGAGATCTCTATCGAGGCCCAGGGGATGAGTCAACTGACTTTGATGCTCCATTAGAGAACTGAGCCTACAACAATAATGCGACCATTTCCCTTCTGACGGTGCTTGAGGTCAGTTCCATTCTGAACAATTTTGAAACAGACATCGCTGTCTTTTTACCAAGACGTTGGCACTGGTTTTTGGACCTCAGTTATTTGCTGACAAGATCAAGTCTTGGTGTTTGCTCAAGGAACTTGCTCAAGATCCTATAGGTAGCAAGAGGCCAGGCTGGGATTTTTTTTTTCAATATTTATTTTTTTTAGTTGTAGTTGGACACAATACCTTTATTCCATTCATTTATTTTTTTATGTGGTGCTGAGGATGGAACCCAGGGCCCTGTGAGTGCTAGGTGAAGGCTCTACTGCTGAGCCACAATCTCAGCCCTCTGAGCTGGGATTTGAAGGCCAGTGGTTTGGATCCTATGCGGTACTTTCCCTCAATTGGAAATGCACCCACCCCTGAGTTCAAAGCACCACACTGGAAACCCTCAGTTACACAGCAGAGCAGCCAGGTCTGCGCCCTAACTCCACAAAAGTCTATTGCTTGCCCCGGACATGTTTCGCAACACCCTTTCCCCCGCTCCCTTTGGTAGTACTGGGGATTGAACCCACGGGTGCTGTACCATTGAACTATCCCCCAGCTCCTTTTATTTTATTTTGAAACAGGGTCTTGCTAAGTTGCCCAGGCTGTCCTGGAACTTGCAATCCTGCCTCAGCCTCCCAAGTTGCTGGGATGAAGGGCATGCGCCCTGGCTGCCTCGCAGTGCCTACGCCTTGCTTAGTGCACACTGTCATGGGCTGGGCTGTGTTCTGGTCTAACTATGGCCAAGGAGGGCTGGATCCAGTTTTGACGAATTCAGATGATGTGATTCCCCTGTGTGTCTTCTTCCATCACCCGTCTACATAGCAAGGCTCACAGCCAGCTGTGCAACTCCTTCCTTGCTTTCTTCCTTCATTTCTCCATTCATGCACACATTTGGCCCCTTTTTCCTCCTGCTTGCTCTGTCCCTTGCTCACCTACTCAGCAAACACCACTAACACTCTCTGCTAGGCTTTGCCTCTGCCTTGTGGAGTCAGCAGATCCAGGCAAGTTAAATGTTGACACTTGGCTGGGCACAGTGGCACATGCCTGAAATCCCAGCAGCTCCGAAGGCTGAGGCAGGAGGATTGTGAGTTCAAAGCCAGCCTCAGCAAAAGGGAGGCACTAAGTAACTCAGACTCTGTCTCTAAATAAAATACCAAATAGGGCTGGGGATGGGGCTCAGTGGTCAAATGCCCCTGAGTTCAATATCTGGTACTCCCCATAAAAAGAAAAGTTGGCTCTTGCTAGGTGCCCTAGTGGGTTGTGCCTGGGATTCCAGGTACTCTGGAAGCTGAGGCAGGAGGACCATTTGAGTCCAGGAGTGTAGCCTCACAACATGGCTAGACTCCACATAAAAAAAAAAAAAAAAAGTGACCCTAGAGTGGCCACAATAGCCACCAGCAGAGAATTGATGGCAAGTGACAGGGATCCCGTGAGCTGGTGTCTGCTAGGTGAAATCAAGGTATACTTTCTGTGCCTGTTCACTGACCTCAGAGGAAGGAGAGGGGCTCCCAGGCAGAGGTGGGGTGCTGGAGCTGGGGTGCTCTCCTCCAATGACTTCCTGTCCTATCCCTCTGGGGCCCTGTGACAGTGTCAGGGTGGAGATCAGGCCCTCCCCCACAGGTGAGAAGAGCTAGGGCCCACAGTCATTTTGGGGAGACAGCTGAGCACAGAGGTGTGACTTCACCAAACACAGGGTGATAGGAGGGTGATGCTGCAGTCTTCTGAGTGGGTGGGGCCGCCAGGCCGAGATGTCCCAACCACAGCGCGTCATGGTGCTCCCAGGCTGTGGCCGGCGCAGCCTGGCTGGGAGGCCTTCTTTCCCCTCTGAAGGGCACGTACAGAGCTCTGTCAAGCTCAGCGAGGAGCACAGAGCAGTTTCTGCAATGCCTGGACCTAGTTTCTTTTGGAATCTTCGTTTCCGCCTCCACATGTTGGGGATGATGTCATGCCACTGAGTCACAGGAAGGAGTCAGGAGCATAATGATGGCTCCACTTTACTGAGCACCTACTGTGTGCTTGCCAAGGAGCTCAGCAAGCTTCTTACCACCCTGGAGGTCTATCTTTTTCCCTTTCACGTGTGTGTGTGTGTGTGTGTGTGTGTGTGTGTGTGTGTGTTAGTGGGGATCACATTCAGGGATTCAGCACCTGCTCTACCCAAGTCACACTTTAGCCATTGGCCTACACTTTTCTTCCTTTCTTCTTCCCTTTTCACCCACCCACCCATCCATCCATCTCTGCCCACTCATGGTCTCTCTCCCTCCTTCCTTCCTCGTTCTCAACCCGTCGTCCATCTATCCATCCACCCATCTAACTTTCCTTCCTTCCTTTCTTCTTCTTTCCTCCCACCCTCGTCCCATCCTTCCTTCCTTTCTTCCATAAGTATCATCGAGGCCACAGCGTCCCAGGCTCTGGAGGCGCCATAGGAATTACAGAGATGAGGATGCTGCCTGGGACCTCCAATCAGCAGGGGAATAACTGTGAGCCAGCCAACAAGTAGCGGGGGAAGGGCATTTGGATGGTGAAAGTGGCAGGACGGCTCAGTGGCTGGGCCTGGGGGAAGGAGGGGCACTTTCCTCTGGGTCTCTAGGAGGTTCTTTTGTTGTCTGACAAATTCCTCTTTTGACACTTCTGCTGATTAGTCAGTCCTTGGCTATGGCTTGAGGCTTAATCATAAACAGAATGGCTCTGGGGCCTCAGAGCTTCTCGGCAGAGCGCACAGTGATGGGAGGGAGGCTCTTTATCTAGGACCTTTCCTTCTGACGGTCACATTCCTTGGAGGGGCTTCTTTCACCCTCTCATCTTCTGGACGTGGATGCTGGGCAGGGCCAGGGCTGGCGCCGTGTGAGTGTCTGGGTTCCAACACGTGTTTTCCAAGTTCCATGGGCACATCTGACTGCAGCGTGGATTGCCTACGCCCATAACGCCACACTTTCTCCTCTCTTTCTGCCCTGATGGATGGAGAGAAGCGTCTGCCTTCAGCAGGTTTACTTGTTGAGAACTCCTGTGCTTCAGCCGCTGTTCGCCATCAGGCTCAGAGGTGGAGTACCGTTTGCCCACAACTGAGCCTGAGGGTGGCGAATTGGTGGAAACTCTTCACCCTACTGGTCTGTAGTTTTGATTTACACTTTAAATAGTCACCTGTCGTCACCACGGGATTCCAGGTCCCAGTGAAAGTACACTGACACTCCATTTTAACTCAGAAGGGCAGTTTTGTTTTGCTTTTGAGTTTAGAACTCAAGCCTTTATTTGTGCGTAAAGGGGAAGAAGGACAGTTTTGATGGAGACATGAATGGTGAGAATGGGGGAGGTGTCTGCAGAAGAGGGTGGGGCCGTGGAGATTCCAGACAAAGGATCAGCAAGGGCAAAGATGCATCAGAATCTTCTGGAAAGCTTATTCCAAGTGACTGCCAAACAGAAAACACTAACTTTGGTGTCCCCCTCAGACAGCTGGGCTGCTAAAATCTGCAGAGTAAACATCCCAAGTGTTGCTGCTGCTGCTTGGGGCCCCACACTTGGAGACTCACTGATGTCACCCAAGTGTTTGGCAAGTTTTTGTGTTCCCATAACATCAGCTAATATCATGACTGTTTTCTCTATTATTCATCGGCAAAACTCAATACAGGATTAAACACATCTCAAGACTCTTGTTGAGTTGCATGAGAATTCTCTGACATGCCAGGTGCTGTGGCACACACCTGTTAGGCTACTTAGTGGGAGGCTGAGGCAGGAAGGAGGATTGAAAATTCAAGGCCAAACAAATAAAATGAAAAAGATTGGTGGACATAAAACAAACAAACAAAACAACAACAAGAAAGAAAGAAGAAAGAGAGAAAGAAAGAAAGAAAGAAAGAAAGAAAGAAGAAAGAAAATTTGAGGCCAGCAACTTCCTGAGACTCTGACTCAAAAAAAAAAAAAGGTGTGTGTGTGTGTGGGGGGGTGTCAGGGATGCAGCTCATGGTAGAGGGCCCCTGGTTCAATCTCCAGTACTATTAATAATAAGAAGAAGAATCCTCCCCATTTCATGAGCTGTTGCCTCCTGCTGTAGACAGTGCTGAGACAGGCATACCAACCACCATCCACTTCCCGGTGGAAAAAGTGAGGCTGGGAGGCGGGCAGGGAGATGGTCCCCATTTCCCTGCTGGTCTGGGAAGATCACTCTCCCAGGCTTGCCTAGGACCATTTACCTTTCAATTCCTGTTTCAGAGCCCGGTTTTGGCCTCTTCTATGCCCCTCCTCCCGCCTCTGCTACCACCACCGCCGGGCAAAAGGGAAATTTGAGTTTCCGAGTGTTCCTGGCTATAAGGGGAATTTCTCCATCTGGACTCTCCGGCCTTCTGCTTGTGGGGTCCCAAGGGGCTCCTGACGGGAAGCATCCAAGTGGGTGGGTGGGGGCAGGCCAGGAAAGGTCCGGGCATCCTGGGGGAGATGCGCAGGGTGGTGGGGTGGCTGGGCCTGGCTCTGGGAATCCCACTGGAGGTGGGGGTAGGCGGTTGAGGCCTGGCTATCCTCTGACTCCGCAAAAGTATTGGATTTGGAGGAGCCCTGGGGAAGTCCCCCGTGATGGGCAGTGAGGAGGGGAAAGCAGAAAGAGAGATTTCAAAAGCTACACAGGAGGGAGTCACACGGAGAAAAAACAGAAATAATGAGGCAGAGAGACAGGAGGGTCCCCTTGACCCATTGTGGACCATCAAAGGAGACAGGAGAGAGAGCGACACACAGAGAAAAGGAGGGGGCAGAGTTACTGGAGAACCAGAACACGCTGAGACTCAGGAGAGGGGCTGGGAGGAAAGAGCGGGAAACATCCATGACACCCCACGGATATGTGGAGAGAGAGAGAGAGAGAGAGAGAGAGAGAGAGAGAGAGAGAGAGAGAGAGAGAGGAAGAAGAAGA